AAGAGAATCGAATTTACCTCATGGTAACAGGCCGTGTGAAATGTTGCTCTGTTGCTCACAAATTCTCGCAATAACAGCAGAAAGGTCAGCAGTTTAATTCAGGTGTGAAAGAGCTGCCCACTCACGTAGCATTAACCAATATACCTCTTAACCCTATTAAATAGAGTGGCCATTTTGTTTTTGAGCTCTTAGTTGTCACACTCTTGACCATTTTAATACATTTCAATTCTTGATGGCTGCATAAGTAGACTTCATAAATGGACCTGTTGTCTGCGGTGGCCATCTGGCCAGAAGTCATGTATATAAATGGACCTTCGAGACACTTGACTTCTGGAGCCATCGGCCATGATTACTCTCTTGGCCTAATACAATATTCATGCATTAGAGTAGGCATGCATTACTTTGTTTCTCCTCCTCATGCTGCCATCAGTAATTGAAATTTCTGAAGTGCGGCATGTTTAATAATGGAATTAATTTCCCATGCAAAGTGATTGACCATGCACAGGGAGATGAGGCAGTAGGCACCATTTTCCGAGAAGAGGAGAAAATAGTTAGCCATATCGTTAGATTTATACATTTCTGACACAAAAAAATATAATAGCATTATTTCAAATGATTTATCACTTTAATACATGTTACATTTAATGTATTAAATACTGCAAGGAAGATGCGTTTTTCTCCAATTTGAATAAAATTATTGTTCTCATAGCTCAAATATAAATTCTTGGACGATCATATATTTTTTCCTTTGCAATTAATTTTTGGAGCAACATTATCAAACTATAAAGAGGATGACAATGAGGGGAAAGGCACATAAATATAACAACCAATAAATGTAAAAGGTGTGGGCAGGAGACTGAGCTCCTGAGGACCCTCTATCTAAGGATAGAGGGTGTCGTTTTTCTCATACTGATATTCTGAAAAATCTGTGCTATTGTATTATCTGTAAAGTGTCTCTACTGTAGGCTATTTTTATTATATGTACAGCACTTTGACTCGACCAAAAATCGTTTATAAATGTGCTATATAAATAAAACTTGATTTGATTTGATTTGAAGGCTAATGATCAAGCTAGTTTGACCTCTCAAGCAGTTAATGCGGAACAGACTGTTCCAAGCAAAGCCAAGTCCAAATGACAGGCCATCACAGGAAGAGAACAAAGGAGTAGCTCTTACAAGAACACCATTCATCGCTGCATGGCTGTGTTTTATAAAGCCAGGGAATAGAAGAGACATTTTGCCTTGCAAATGTAACTGCAAAAATCACAGCTCCATTCAGTACATCATGCACAAAATATAAGAGCAATCAAAGAGGAGATTTCAAATATTTGAATACACCACTTTGTTCAAGCACAAAATGAACAAAAAAACTGAACATTAATGCTATGCAGAACAAATCTAAATCAATGCCATCTTTAGCGGCTGTACAAGGTAGCTCTCATAAGTTAATTTGTGAAGAAGGCACAGGACAAACACAACATTTATTTTGCTGCTTTTCAGCTGACAGCACCGGGTGAGGCTAGCAGGAGGGGGGGGGGGGGTTAGTGCTATGAGAGTGTGAGGAAAACAGTAGGCTCAGCACAATAATGGTGTATGCCCCAGCCAAGACATATTAGGTTAATGAAATGTTCACAGGCTGTAATTGTTGTAATGAGTGAACAGATTGTGATGAAGGACGAGGGAGATGCGGCAGCAATAAAAACCTGTATAGAAAGGTAAACGAACACAGTAAAATATAATGATTTAATGCTAACATTTCCAGAAAAATCTATTAAGAATATGTGGAGGACCCCTTTTTTTTTTCTCCTATAGTAAACTGGAGTTCAAACATCAACCCAAGCAAATTTAGACAGCAATGATATGTTCATTAAGAGCACATCTGATGATTAAAGGGGTAAAGGTAAAGAGGGTAAAGTAATTGTACTTAGAAATCATTGGCTTTTTTTATAGTAAGGCAAACCTCACTAAGGTGAAGTAAGGCAAACCTCACTCAAAAACAACCAATTGAATGGATTTTCAAATATTCCACTTGATTATTTTTTCCATTCATCCACACTTCTGAGCATGTTCAAGATATTTCATGAAAACAAGAAATAACCTTGCTTTGAGCACAAAACACATTTATATTCATAAAATAGCAAATAACTAAGAGCAGAAGCAAGAATACTAATTTTCGACTAAATAACTTAAATCCTTCGTATAAAAGAACCCACATTCACATTTTCTGAGAAATTAACACACATCAAGAACAACACTAACAGATCATAAAATGCAAGGATGCGGTGAAAAACACAAGTAATTCTAAACGGTGGAATGAGTGGGTGGTTAGAGCGAGAGAGAAATAAAGTGAACAGGAGAGAAACACAGAAAAGGTGAGAAAGCATCAGCGAATGACAAGAGAGATAGGGAGTTACACAGAGACATTTAGGGGAGAACTGAGTCAGATTCAAATACGCAATGATTACATCTCTTAACGTGTCAAGTATATTTCCATTTAAAGTGCTTGCTTAAACACCCATGAAGAGGTATTCTCCGGCAGCAATGCACACAGTAATGACTGGGGAATCTCCTAAGACCCTTAAGCTTTGCAATTGTCGCTTTCTTCCTCAGCGCGTTGCCTCATCTGCCACAGCTTTAAAACTATATATTGTGTCCGTAACAGACTAACAACTAACGGCTAGAGTCCGACTAAGTATACCGCCACATTTCTCACAGGACACCGGTGCTTTATAAGAACCTTTCATATCAGAATCATTTGTAAGATTATATAATCACATATGAAGTGGACGTAGGCCTATAGTGAATTTAAAGTAGCTTTTGCCACTCGAGGGCGTGCAACAGTTAAAACCCAACATTGACATATATAAACACCTAATAAAGCCAACATGTTACACTCAGCAGACATTCAGCATTAACTTTTAGTCACGTTTCTATCTACCCTGCAGGGCCGCCCCTCCCTACAGGCAGATCACGCAGACTGCGTGGGGCCTCACCGCGCGGAGGGGGCCTGGTCTCGTGGAGGCGGCCTCATCTCGTGGACGGAGCCTCAACGGAGCCGCAAATGCGGCACAACTATGTGCTTATGCGGCGCAATTAGTGTAGGTGCTGCACAGTTTCGCCGCTGCGAGGCTCCACTAGCACCCTCCCCGTCCCGTCGACGCTCGCGACACAGAGGGCCTCATCATATAACTTTGCGTGGGGCCACAAGTTGGCCCTGCACTCTAAATCCAATATTCACTCTCCTTCTATCTCTGCTTTGGTCTCCACCAACTCCTGAGGAAAAGTAATCTGGCTCTTTAGCTGTCCAAAATATAGCTAACTTCACCAGCTAGGTGCTAACTTTTCATTGAATGCCGTTTTGAGCCATGAAACCAAAACAATCGGCTGAAATACACAAAAATGCCTGGAGAGTGGAGGGTGACAGCAAAGTCGAAATTAGATTTTTGTGTACTTGTATGTTCAAATTTATATAAAAAGTGTATCAGTGCCGCTTTAAGGCAAGACTAGTGGAATAGCTGAACAGCAGCCAATATGAAGATGATGGTAATAGAATACATATTTTTATATATATATATATATATATATATTATAATGGTACAACGGTGAGGAGTCATGAAGACATTGAACTAACTCAGCAATGTCAGTTACACAGCACTGTCTATCCAACCATAATGTTACGCCCAGACCTAGGGGAACCTAGGCGCAGCATAAAATGCACTCTCCCCACTTCCCAAGAACACGGACGCCAAAACGTTTGGTACATTTATTTACCCAAAATTATTACACACCGGAGTAGCAAAACCACAAAACAAAGAAAGCTTTTAACACAAAATCTTAACTATCAAATGAGAAAAATAAACGTACAAAAATCTTACCTACTCTAATGCAAAAAACAGGAGAAAACGAATTATCCAGAAGGAAAAAAGAAAGGGTTTTGCACTCCTAAGCAAAATAAATAAAGCGTGTCTAACAAAGACAGGTTTAGTAGCTTTTCTCACAACACGGGAGAAAGGACCGGCATACGGTATAATTAAGCAATCAGTGTAACAGGACAGACATCGCAGCGCAGATGTGTGTTGGGTGTAGGAGAAGTCTAGTCGGAGAGAGGCCGAGGAACTGCACGGCTGCAGTTAAATATCCTCTGTTCTTCAGGTGGACCAATCAACAGGTTGAAGGTAGCTAATCAGCTTAACGGGCACCACCTGTTGCTCACACACACACACACACACACACACACACTCATAGACACAGGAGGGAAAAATGTCCACACACATGACCTAACGACCCAGGGTCGTAACAGGTCTCCACCAACTCCTGAGGAAAATTAATCTGGCTCTTTAGCTGTCCAAAATGTAGCTAACTTCACCAGCTAGGTGCTAACTTTTCATTGAATGCCGTTTTGAGCCATGAAACCAAAATAATCAGCTTAAATACACAAAAATGCCTGTAGAGTAGAGGGTGACAGCAAAGTCGAAATTATATTTTTGTGTAATTGTATGTTCAAGTTACCAAATTTATATAAAAAGTGTATCAGTGCCGCTTTAAAGCAAGACTAGTGGAATAGCTGAACAGCAGCCAATATGACCAATTAGAAGATGATGGTAATAGAATACATATTTTTATATATATATATATATTATAATAATGGTACAACGGTGAGGAGTCATGAAGACATTGAACTAACTCAGCAATGTCAGTTACACAGCACTGTCTATCCAACCATAAGCTACTAGTAATACTAGACAAAGTAAGTCTATAGCAGCATAACCTCTTATTCTATTGATTTCAGCAAGGGTGGCTTCAATTGTTTTTTAATCCAACGTATTATGTTTAAAGGGAGTATAAGATTATGTCTATCAAAAGTTAGACTGAAAATAAGTTAGACTGAGAAATATCTCTTCCTGTTTCTATACCAACAGGACAACATTCCTGCTGACAGCATTGAGCATTGATAATCCTGTCACTCCCTATAGGAGCCTGTGTTAAAATGCAGCGCTGATGTTTGCCTTTGTGAAAGGCCTTTATTATTAAAGTGCCCTCACCTGCTAACATTACAGCCCGTAAACAACATGAATGATGTGCTGAGCACTGAAGCCCAACACACATTTATTAAATTACACTTTTCAGCCACACATCAGCTTTCTCCTTTGATTCATTTCCTTTAATGAGTTTGCTGATGTAGACTGGCATGCTGTAATGAAAAGGAAAAGACAAGCAAGCAGGAGAGCCATAAATAAGTCTCAGAACATGAGGAATAATGACAGGAGTTTAATGTCCAATTAGATTAAAAGGATCTCTGACACAAAAGCAGGATGCTGAGTGCACTGCTCAATGAGCCTGTGAGCGACATTGATTAACGCTAAACGGATCTATTACTCTCATCCAAGGTACTGATCAACAGCACTACCTGCCACCTCTCTAACACTACAGATGTGTGTGTAGTTGCACCTATATCCATGCATGCAAATGTACATTAAGTGGGTTATGGATTAACACAACGGACTCATTTTCAAAAAAAGATTCCAGCATTGTGTGTGTAATTCTGAAGGACATCCAGGTAGGATTATGCCTTCCCTTCTGTTTTGCTTCCTTATGTCATTGTGTAAACAGAGGACACGCTAACCCAGGCAAGTTTTGCAATCTATTACCTCTGATATATGAGTTTCATAAAGCACAGTGGAGTTTTCTCCTTGGGAATCCTAGCTGAGACCTGATAGTGCTCCATTATTGGCTTTACCGGAAGAAAAAAAACGTGATAGTGGGATGGGTTGTCCGTCTATCATCACATTTGTTTTCAGTTACTTGTCAAAGGCTTCAGCCCTCATTTTGTATTTGAGCGGAACATTATAGAGACGGTTTGCAGAGGTGCTAAAATATGCTTTGCTGCAGGGGAAGGAAACTACCTTGCAGATGTGGCTCCTCCTTATTCTGCTGACAAAGCTTTGTGGATCTTTCCTCTGTTGAGGGGAGAAACAGTAGATGGGAGGATGAGAGATGTCCTCTGGAGGAGTATGTCAACACCTTCGACATATAACCCGACCTACATTAACATTCACAGTTCACAGGATCTGGTGCACATAGATGAAAGAGGCACTATTATGTAACAGACTGTATTGAATGTGTATAATGTGTAGTTTCCTTTGAGGTCTGGAGATGCTCTCTGGGACCTTTAAAGTATTCATTATAGGCCATGTGTGACTTGTTAATAATTTACATGAGATGTAAAAATCATAGCTAGATGTTTTATGTAATGTACTGTAACTATTTTTTAAGTCATTATCATTGTTCCTATGTTGCTTTTCTAATAAACACAGTGTGTGTCGAATCTCATTTCCACAATTCAGGCATCGAGGGAGTAGCTTTCATTCATCCTTGAAAGAAAACCTGCGTCATGCTTCTTCAAAATGTAGAAGACAATGGCTTGAATTAGAGAAGATTGATTTATAATGGGACAAAAAGAACTGGAACAAATTACAATGGGTAACATGAAGTCACTGTTAGTACAGTCTTACTGTGAGAGCCTTTTCCAGCCAAGAAGGGAAAAGGCACTGCCTGTGTGTCCTTTCTAAACTATGGTTATTTTGTAAGTAATCTTGTTTAGAGCCTCATTAACAAAACAGGATACAGATTCGCTACTGAACTAATGGTGTAATGCCCAATATTTAAATGCTTAAAAATATACTGTGTCATTTAGTTGTCAGTTATGTCAGATGAAGTATTGTACCAAACAATGGAAGGGTTTGCTGAAGTCAATGAGCTACATTATTATTTCTTTAGGTCTGGGGAGAAGGTTTCATCATGTAAGAAAGAAAATCTGATATTCAAGATTCAAGGGCTCCCACCCCCCTCCACCTAGGGTGCCCATCTTGTAAGTCAACAGTAAATTGTACATGCACAATTGTAAGGCATGGGAGTAATCTGTGGAGGTCAAGAGACTCTGATCCCACTCTCCTTGACAAGCGTCTGCCTTCTACAGAAGAACTGGCTTATCTGTGATTTTCAACAGAGAAAAGATGACACAAATCTATAAAGGGAGGAGGTCAATGTGGGTGAACCATTGAAATAAGGCAGGCAGGACATTAAAGATCACATCCCATTATACACTTCATAGGCCACTTGTCATTGAACGCATAGCTATGGGAATAAGAATGATGATATATCTCATGCTTATGTAATTATAAGTCAATATAAATATGTGCAGAGGGTCATGAGAACATAAACGTTTATAGAGCCGCATTGCAGGAAGTATTCATGGTAATCACAGTCCACATTCGAATTCAGACCATGTTCACTCATTTACTTGGTCTCATGTATTATTGCTTAATTACAGCATGCCAGTCACATAATGTTTTGATTACATACTTACATCTGAAATTGCAGCCGCCACACTTTCACACTCAACAGAAGCCTGAAGCCATATCCACATCAAACCACTCTGAAAATAGAATTTGATTGGTGTGAAATGCATTGTTGCTGTTTGGAGCAAAGTCAATCACATCTTTCTACAATATTTGTAAAGCAAAAGTCTAATTTATGAAATGTCTCATGAATGTTAACTACTTTTGAGCTGATAGAAAATATATATGTTTTTGGTATCCATCTTTGTTCTCTCCAGTTTAATTTATACTTCTTCTCAACTATAATTCAAAGTTGAACTTTTTACTCCTCTACTGTACATTCATTTGATTAATCTTTTCAGGGTGAGATTAAAGATACAAAATATAATACATTTTCAATTATAGGTTAGAAAAGAGGGGGGCCTATGACCTTATATGACAATACAATGTCCTTCAGGAGAGAGCTAAGTGTCTACAAAGAGAAGATACTTTTGAGTGGATATTGAACTGTCCAAAGGTTATGTCTTGTCATCTTTCCGTTTATTTTCATGAACAGAATTTAATTTAAACAAAAGCCCATAGAATGCCATCGTGTCAGTCAATGAGTTTCACTATTTGCTCTATATTGGGCTGCATTAATTGATGTATGGCAATCTCTGTCGTATACTATCCAGTCCCAACATATAATCATCTTATAAAGAGTTGTGTGGAGATAATATCAGGCTCTTTAGACATAGATGCAGTTAGATGCTACTAAGATAGCAAACAGATCATTAATAAGATATTATTTCCTGAGAGTAGCTGCTGCCAGAAGAGGTTGAGTATTAAAACCATTTCAACACAAGGAGAAAAAAGAGGTTAACAATAATTCTGTATGTAAATGTATTTTGCAATATTTTAACCAAGCAGGCACACGGTCGATGTCAGTGTGGTATATAAAAACATAACAAATAGCCAAGATGAAATAGCTTCTTCATTAAATGATGGTAAATACACTGCCGGTTTCTCAACAGTCTATGAGTTCTAAGTACCTCTAAAACACTTGGTTTGTGAGACCATGCTACTCACCTTGTGGACTTTATTATTGAGCAAGGTGAAGAAAAACATCCCAAATGATTGTGCTCTGGCAGTGCAGAAATAGTGCAGTAGTTGCACTGTTGCAGCAGAAACACATCAGCTACAATTTTCCATATAGGTTCGAATCAATTTGTCTTTTCACTCTTCATAAATGCCTCACCTAGCAAATCTTACTGCTTCATTTATTTCTTTGCAGTGGATAAAGTCACAAACACACACACCCACACTTTTCTATATCTGGATCTTCCCTTCCTCTTCATAGCATTCAATTTGGTATCACCAAGACAACTACACTGCACAGTTCACTTGATCAGCAAAGTTTCTTTCACTTACTTTTAAACACTTTAAGAAATTAGAAACATTTACTGAAAATGTTTTTAATTTCTCGTCGAAAGGCCAGATAATATTCATCGCATGTATCTAGAAATAATTTCTATCAAGTATTATCGACGGGTCATGTCAAAACATTGTATATTATTGATGCTGATGTATTTTTGTATAACTAAGGAATATTAAAAGGAGAAGAAATGTCTATCAAAGCCTCAGTTATAGTAGAGAATTCGCTATTTTGGAGCAGTAAAATCACAAGTAACATCGTTCTAATAGCGGAAAACTTAATTAACTAGGTGAGCCTTGGGGGCTCTTACGAAATGCCTCCCCAAGCAACAGCATAGAGCAAGAATGACCCCCAGCTACCAAAGACCTGCTTACTGATACAGAAAATATGATTGCTTTTCATATCCCAGTGAATTTTCAACATTTTACCATTTTACCTCAGGACACACAGTCGCTCAGAACCCATTAGAATAGGTGCATTGCAGGAAAAGGGGCAGTGCATGTGGGCGTTATTAGCTAAATTAATTTTAATAAATAACTGAAACATAATGAAACATAAGACAATATGAAAGACGAAATTAAATGCTTGTTGAAGTATGCAAGGCAGATAATGGGATACAGTAGCGAAACAGATGCGTTTAAGGAGGTGCGTAATACTGCATGTTCAATTTATATGTAAATCAATCCACCTAATAGAATGACCTCGGCCAGGTGCCAGAGGATAGGAAAACGATCCCTCCCAAAAACATTTTTTGATTTTGGAAATCTCATGAGCTTTTACAGGAAGAGGGTAGCCTGGTGCTACAATAAGCCATTAGAGAACAAGCTAACGAGGTGATTTATTTGAGTTAAGCTGAGAATTTTGCACAGAAGTACACTATATACATTCGTACTGTAGCTAAGTCTGCACAGGGTGCCCATATATACAGGAGCCTTCAGCAGGAAGTAAGCTCCTCTTCCCACCCATGTCAGTATGAGGTTGATCTATTGACGACCAGCATGCCACAGCTCTATCTGCCACAGTTCCATGTCACTTTTTTTATCCTGCTCCATCCTGAACCAGAGATACCTAGTGTCTGCTTCACTGACCCTCCTTGTTAGAGAGACACAAGAGGATAATCAAGACAGAACAAATGATGTGCTGCGAACCCCCTGCTGTGTGACCTATGACCCAGTCGGGATGGCAGACTGTCTACATTATATTTGTGACAACTACTGTATTGATTAAAAGTATATATGGTACAATCAGATAATGCTATGCATATTTCAACAACTCTTTTCTATTATATGTCGATGTGCTCCGTGGAGTAAAAACTCCCACTGTCTATCAGTCTCTAATGGTGTGGAGCAGTGGGAGGCCAGGACACCTGCGTCTGCTGCCTGATAATGAATATGATGAAGATGGATAATACTTTACCCTGTCTGAATCCATGCTCTCAGCTAGGGAGTGATTAGTGCTATAATTGGCATCCACTGTGGCTGCCGCTGGAGATACTGATGATGATGCCGTCTCCACGGAAATGTAGATAACATGGACATTGCTCATATTGTATCCAAGAGTTGCAACTTCACTAGTTACGGCTGACAACCTGTGACCTCTTTCTCTGTTTTACTGGAGTTTTAACAGTATATTTGAGTGGGTGTAAGAATTGTTTTTACAAAAGTGAATATAAGAAAAAGAAGTGGTGTGTTGGGTTCAGGTACACAAAGAAAGCAACCTCAGTAAAGCAGCAGTATCTAACTCACTTTGCTCCCATGTTTATCAACCAAAGCCCTTCCTTATTAAAACCTGACAATAAGCTCATGTATCACCTGTCTGACTGAAAGTCCCACACTTCATTGAGATGCCAGTCACATAAACACATAACTGGACAAAGATGCAGAGATCAGGAAAGTACTGATGATGAAACTCACTTTTTGGGGGCCTTCTGCATCAATTTTCTCACTCCGACCACCTCTATCTTGTGCCACAGGTTTTGAAGTATACTGCTGCGTGGGCCATCTCCATACTTCATGCTGTTCTTCTGAAAGATTTCAAAAAGAGATTTATTAACACCCCAGAGTGATCATTACCAGGTGGCCTTGTCAGGCACCACTTCTTCTTCAGTGAGTTTTCTGGGATTCCTGAGGGACGATGGGTGTCCTCTAGGTAGTGTCCTAGTGCATAGAGGGTGCCGGGAATAAAGGGGGGGTGCTCTTAATGACCATCTGCTCAGAGAGCAACCTTTTTAATGAAGACGGATGTTGAGGGGATCTGACCAGGGGGGCTCCAGGCAGGGGTCTAATGACACCCCCTCATATGTCTGGACCTTCTCCGTTGTCTTACATGCCCTGTCAGCCCTCACTAACACCACACAGGCACCAAGAAACTCAAACAGGCCTCCTGAAACTGTACCACAGCTATTAAAGTACTCACTCACACCCACAAGCATGTGCTGTAGCACATAATCATGATAACTGCAGTTGTGGAAGAAGTATATGAGTCTAGTAAACTAAGACCACACACTATTTGAAAAAACAATAAAAGTCTGCTATAGCACGAGGTGCATTCCAAAGCAAAACGCTTACAATAGAAAAGTTAATCCATATTTATATCCTTAAGAACAAATAAGAGCTGTGTCATGCATCCTGAAAACCTTTCCTTTTGGTCTTAAAAGTAGTAGCTGCAGATTAAAAATCTTTTGTAGCATCTTTAATTTCACATTTTGAGATCATCAGTCGGGGACATTTCTTACGTGACTTATTAAAAGGATTCTAGGTGTTTTGCAAACATGTTTAGAATGGATATAAAAGCTCAAATCTGCAATAATTAAATGAAGGGTCATTTGTATTGCCTTTGGCATCGCTTTGTCATTGAGACACTGTGTGGTATGCTTGAGTTACCCAGATTTAATTGGATTTCAGTTACTTAAATTAAATCCCCATTCAAACTTGATCCGCATCTTTTGTTGTCCAAGCTTCTTTTCACTCTTTGTGTTTATATTGAAGTCTTGGGATATGTTTCTGTTGATTTGGCAGACTCAGAGTCTTACGATTATGCTCCAGCGCTCAGGCCTCATCATCCTAGATGCTATTGCAGAGCTGCAGTGTTAATAACATCCAAAAAGGAAAAAGAGGGGAGCTTACAGCACCCACACCCTCAGGCTTCACCTCAAATGTACGCTCAAATTAAAAACCAGCCTGTGGCCTAACTGCGGTTCTAAACAGGGGGGCTGTTGTGTCAGCAATCTTTTATTAGAGTCATCCTGTTCCAAAAACACAGCAGGGAGGGACATCTTCCAGAGAAGACATGATCGCCTTTCCTTTTTTTTCATCACACATCACTCCTTTGTAAAGGTTATTAAAGAAGACGACTAAGATTGATGGATGGAGATGGAAGACGCTCAGAAGCCCATCTCTCTCACACTCATCTTTATCTTGGGTGTTGCTACTGACAGTGGAGGAGCAGAGGAGGAGATGGATGGATGCGCCCGCTCTCCCTACTGTACTAGTGCTGCACACTTAAAGTCTCTTTAGTTTAGATGTCTTACCAAACATTAATTTAACACTTTTGGCTAAAAAACAACATGAGTGATTTTAATGATGATGGGATTTTTTTGAAGCAATCAAGGATACCTGCATGTATTTGCATATTAATATGCGGTGAGTACGCAGAGTGAGGCGGGCTAATAGGAGCAGTTATAATGAGAGATGATACCAATAAATTGATATCTCCTACACTCACCACAGTCCTCTCTGCAGCTGCAGTTAAAAGGATTGACTCAGCCTTTACTAACCTTGTGTTTGACTTGAACTGTCATTAGCAAATCAAAAGCAGATTAATTAATCACAGGTCCAGTGGGGTGTGCATTACCTTAAGTGACTATTGTAATATAACTTAAAGAGAAATCGCCCATGATTTCTCATCTTGACAACAGAATGAATGCTTTGCTACTTCCAGGAGTGCTGATGCTGTCATCAAGAGGGGGGAAATGGATTCTGTAAGTGGCGGAGAGTCTATTAGAGCATTAATTCAGCTACAAATGGAGCTCTTCTCAAATGGTCAAATACTTATATCTCATCTTGTCTTCTTCAAGTGTTTTTATTTCGCTCTACCCTCCTATTTAAACATACTCCAGCTGTGTTTAGGATGACTGATATGACTGAAAATGGTTGTAAACTGTCAAATGTTTTCGGTGTTAGCACATACAAGAAAGCACTGCTCCAAGTGTCATTGTTTGTTGTTGAGACTAAGAGGAAGTGGCTACATTTGTGTTGTTATTCTGCCTCGAGCTTGGACACTTAACCATCCGGTTACACTCTGACATTAGAAAAACAAACCATGACTCGCGTATTTTAGGGAAGAAAAGGCCAAATCACAGATGATCATTGCTTGAAGCAACCGACATCTATGGAAAATGTATTTCCTATTATCATGTAAACAAGGCGTGACCTCAACAAGCATTACACTATGTCATTTATTTCATCTTCACATGCCCTTTTTTCTTATTCGTTTAGCTGCATCTGAACATTTGAGGTGCTATTAAGCAGATAACAGCCATCCCATTGGTGAACTAATAGTATCCCCTGCTGGCAAAAGAAGGAACACTTCCAAAAAAAAAAGATGATGGTAATAGAAACATCTTCTTGCAGCACATGACTGTTTATAGATACTCAGATGCTTTTCTCAAAGATGACAGATAATGTATAAGAGTCAAAGGTAATATAATTGTATATTAGAACATGCATGAAAATAGCCCCACTGTTTTGGTTTCACTGGGAGGGAGGTAACTTAACATTACTCCACCAGAGGTCACTACTACTTTATATTCAGAATCATAATTTATTTGATCTGACATTTCCATTGAGGAATCTAATGCAACTAATGCCAAAAGAAATGCATATACAATTATTTTCCTCCCACTAGAACAAATGCTTTAATTCAGCAAGTATCTCTTAAAAATAACAAAAAGATCTAGAACATTCAAATTGACCAAACGGTAATACCTCCTATAAGCACCATGCAGCTATTCACCATCCTTATATATGCCATGTTCAGCAGTCATGAATGATTGCACACAGAAAACATAGTGGTCAGTATAGCCTTTTAACATTATGTATTTTCATTTAATTCATCACTTGTATAGATTGTGGAGCAGAGCCCCTCTTAGATGAATTTCCCTAAAGTACAGCTACCGTTCCTCGTCCTATAATAAACACGCTGGTTTCCATAGCAACCTGGAGCAGGATCTACAGAGCAAACACTCCAGCAGCCAGGAGAAAAGTGCCCTAACAATGAGGTCTGTGCTGAGGTGTAGGGTTAGGGGGGAGGGAGGAGGAGGATAGTATTGGTAGGGGGGCAGAGCAGGTAGCAGATGCATGCGTCACAAGGTTCAAAATGTGAATTAGTGGGAATAATCAGTGGCATGAAGAATGCAAGGAATTTGTCCAAATATTTTTCAAACAAACAGTGATTCTAAAACAAAGAATAGAAATTAAAGAATTTTTGAATTAAGCCAATTTTGTGAACATAAATAAAATAATTGCCTTTAAAAATAATTCTAATCCTTCTTAAGTTTCATATATAAAAAGATCACCTTACATTTAGACTACTCGTGTAAAATGGGAGGGACATTCTCAATCATTCCCTTTTAGACTTGAGTTTAAGGATATCTGTATCATTGCAGCCTTGGCAACGTGTGTTGAATCTGTCATTCTAAACCCAAAACTCTTTTAACTTAGGCCTACCACCCAAAATGTCCTGTTATACAAAAGATAGGCTGAGTTCATGTTAAAATTAGGACTTACGGCTGGATTTGTTGGTTAATTCTTGCAAACAATTTAAATTATTTATTTTTTTTAATAATATCCCTATATGAATATAGAACCGAGGAGGAAATATATATTTATTTTAGAGGTGGCGTCATGGATAACATGCTTGCAAATCCGCGCGCTCGGTAATAACAAATCTTTAATTATTACCGCAAACGTCCACTCAGTTTGAAATGACGTAGTTCTCACAAAGTAGAGTCAAGGGCAGAGGGGTAACCGGAGGAAGTAAAACAAAAAGTTCAGAGGAGAGAGGTGGGACGCGGCTGTTCAAAGTGAGCGATTACTTCTCTGCTCAGTGCACAGACATCACTAACTCTGAGAGAAACACGACAGCTGATCTCCGGTGTCTCCAATATTACACACACAGCTCTGCGGACTGAAGGAGACACTCAACCTGTCCTGGCACTCCGGGAAAAGTGTTTACGGCAACATCAACAGGTGAGTGAACGCCCCACCGACACTAGAGGTATGATAAAAAAAAACTGAACTACAAAGTTCATATTTTTCACTGTTATAAACACGTCTTGTTTTACATAAATGCTGTGAAAGTCACTATGCTGGTAAAGAATAATTTCTTATGGCAGCAACACTAATGTTGGATATATATATATTGTTTTGTTTGTATGTTTCCAGCACAATTTAAAAAATACATGGTATCCTGCTTGGTGAAGTTGTTAAGGTTGAGTGGTTTTTCTACAGTTTTCAGGTTCAAAGTACAACGACTGGATTTTTTTTTGGTTTAATATTACATGGGCTCTTTTAATTTCATATTTAAATGTTCCTCTATTTTGGGATATCTGATAGGTATCTTTTTATTTTGTATCATGTCATAGGTATGAGCATTGCATAATCATTTCATCTGCAAGGACAAGCTGTGGCAACTTGAATCAACTTCCTTTTGAGTTTTTGAAACTTTGCTTCAGCCATGAGTGGAAAGGGCTGTCAGCTCCTGGTGTCTCCTTGCAGTGTGTCCCCATCACTGAGCATGATCAGAGGACACCAGTCCAAATCCATCAGGATACCCATGTCTTCCCCACAGTGGGACAATCTGAGTCCCTCTTGGAGCATGGACAGAGTGAAAATAGGAGACTTTCACTCCTTTGCTCCTGGAAAACAGAGTGAAAGTCATGTTGTTCTGCCATCGCTAAGCCTCCGCAGACAGGTGTTGACCAACGGGAAACATCTAAACACTTCGACTGCATCCCCACACCAG